TATAGAATGTCCCAGTAGTTCATAAATTGTCCAATTTTGAGAATGCAGAGTATGTTGCGGTGTTTCTTTTTAAGTGACTCACAATCACATTATCATTATTTTCTTCAGAGAGTTTCTATATGTTATAGTATTTCTTTACTGCAGTTTGTGTTTGACTTTGGAACCGAAAAATCTCTGCTTCCATATTTTCGGGGAACTCATTTAAAATTAGGGACTTAAAGCATGCGAGTTATGTTCACTGGTTGTTTTAATCTGCTTAATATAAATATTTACAAGCACGTTCACATGTATTCTGTAAAGAGAAAATTATTCTTGCGATATCTATATTTTTTTTAATTTTTAATATGGTACCATTGAGTTTTTATTTTCGTATTAAACCGTTTAACTTTACTATGTTAGGCGCACACTTAGTTTTTGTTCGTGGTTTAATAATGCTAATAGATCAGAGTTATATAAAATTAATAATGCTAAAAGAGTAAAATTAAAAGATTTAATAAGGAGAAAAAAACGTATAGGAAGCAAATTAAAAATTAGAAAAAATTATTGAAAACAATCTTATTCGAGACATTATCGAACACTAAATATAGATACATCTCCTAATAAGATTTAAACTTTAGTTTATCACGTTGTGAGGACCAATCTTTTTTTGCAAGACTCAACTCTTATAGTTAGAATTTTAAAAATTGACAGTGTGTGTGTGAGCATGCGTGATTTGCACATCTGAACAAAAGGAGTCAAGGATGGATACGCCCCCTGTAACAGTTGTTCTCTCGCAACTATCTTGTCATACCACGATACGCTTATTTGTTATCTTGTTTTTTTCTATCTCTCCCTCAACATCCCCTTACTCTTTTTGGACGTCTGCTTTTAATATTTCTTTTATTCTTGTTCCACATTTTAACTCACTCAAAACATAAATCTATCTCTGTGCCCAGGAAAACAAGATAAATCTGACGAAAAACTAAACCCCATTTTTGTCCAGATTAATAAAGACAATTAACTCAATTCTTCCATCCATCCGAAATCTAGGCATAGCTAACATCTAGTAATCCATTTTAGAATCTAATTATCTCTCATGAGAAAATAATCTCACAAGCAAGGAAATTGTAAAATGAAATAAGAAAAAAAACATGAAAAGGACTCGTTAAAAAAAGTGTATACAAATGTGTTTTAAAGTTTTTTAGGGGTTGTTTGGTAAATAAAAAAATACTTTTAAAAAATATTTTCATGTAAATCAAAATAAAATTCCTTTAATATATTCATTTCATATATCATAAAACTATCTTTAGAACTGTAATTTGAGTTTCTTCCAAACACCTCGTTATTATTATTTTTTTTTTTTGGGGTCGGAAGCAGAAAAATAAAAGCGCCTTGCATAGATTCGAATTGGCCGGGGGTAACGATTTGTAATTTTCTCTTCGTACGCCAATGGAGAAAATATCAATGATTTTCGGGTGGTGTTTTCCTGCCGGCTTCCATGTACCTTCGGGGAACGGTTTCCCTCCTTTTCTTTCTCTCCGCTGCCGTCCGTGGCCCCCTTTTGTTTTTGCCCTTTTCTAACTGCCTACAGCCAGTGCCTTGCTGCCACGTTATCTTTCCCCTCCCTCTTTCTTTTGCTAAACTAAAGCGTTTCATTTGTGTTTGGGGGACTCCAGGAAGTGAAAAACAAAACTAAAAAAATAGGCAGTCGCAGAAACACACATCTGTTTCTATGAGTTTGATATAACCGATTTTGTTATTTTAAAAAATTAATTGGCTACTTCTTATCAGTTTTTCTCAATTACAAATACTAGTTCTTATATTATGTCAATTATGATTAATATAAATATCCATTATATAACATATAAGTTGCCAAAACATCACCAAATGAAAAACGAGACATTTTAACAATAAAATAATTAAATAAAATTATTTATTATCTGTGTAAATTTTTAACATGTAATTTTTTCAATAATAAATTTATTTTTAATGAGTGATAGTTATAAAATTATTTTTATTTTAAATTATGTATATATTAAGATAAAAATTTATTTAAAATATAAAAAATTAAATTGAATATGCACATAATAATATTTTCTTGTAATTTATTCTTAATAAATCTCTTTTTTCTTAATAATATTTTCTTGGGTGATGGTTATATATATTTTTGTTTTGGTCAAAATGGGTGATGGTTATATAGATCGTTGCAGAAAGTTGGTAATGGCCAAAAAAAAAGAGAGAAGGCTTTGATCCCGCGCTGCATCGTCGTATCACGCGGTCTTCCTTCCTTTTTGACTTGAAAAGTCTCTCTGCCCATCTTCTTCCTCGATGACGGAGGCTATGATTGAGGTCGGGTGAGGTCCATCCAGCTAAGCGTCATCATTATTTATCGTCATTTTCCCTAGTCTTTTTTCCCTTTATTTTATCCCCTAATCTATTCTCATTTATTTTTGGGATCGATGACAAGTAAATACAATTTATTTTAAATTATTAAATTTATTTAACGTCTTAAGAAATTTATTATAAGAGATTCTACCTGTTCAGTTAGTAAACTGTCTTTATCTTCCTTTTTAAACAAGCTTACAATAAGGTTTTTTAAAAGTTTGAAATTTTGTATTAATTTAATTTGATGATTTCACACAGTTTTTTATATTTTTTTTTGAAGGGACTTTAATACAATTTTTTGAAATAGGACAAAAAGAGAATAATTTTTTTTATCCGATTTATAAGTCGTTTCATTAAAATTTTAGCATGACTATTTTGTCATTCATTATTATAGTGTAAGTAGTTATTTTTTAAAAAATATATATTAAATAGGAACAAAGTTATAAAATTGTTATATTTTAATAAAGAGTTAATGTAGTTAAAAATTATTTTTAGTTTGTGTAAAATATATTAAAAATATATTATAAATTGGCAAGGTGATCAAACATATTAAAAATAATTTATAAATAAGACAAGAGGAGCATGTGATAATTTGGCAAAATGATCAGCCATCGAATTATTTTTTATGTGTAGTTAACTGTCACCGGCCAATCTCTGCAAAAAAAAAAGTAATCATTAACAAGGCCTTTAAAAGGTTTGTGTAGGACCACGCTCCATGTGCAAAAAATTTAATGACCTTGATACAATCAGAGCAAACAAAATATTCCTATAATTTTTATACCAGCACATATTAAAACCATATATGATTGCTATAACTTCGGCTATAGCCGTGATAATCTTGCAGTTAAACCCACATGAAACCATCTCTCCTTTTTACCCTCGGATGCGAAAATTATACCCATACATTGATAAAGAGAATCTAAGCTGAAACATAATGACCGGTGTGATCTCTTTTATGCTATGTGCACGAGGGAATTGGAGAAAGAAAGAAAATTTTAATAAGCTCAACTTAAAAATTTAAAAAAATAGAGTTGTAAAATTTTAATAAAAAGAAGATGTAAGATAAAAGAGTAAATAAAATTAGTTAAAATTTTTTTGACCATACTTCTTCAATTTTTTAAGCAAAGCTCGTTAAAATTTTCCCTCCCATCTTCTTACCCTTTCCTCGTACCAAATAAACTCTTAACCTCATTATTATTCACCAATGATAGCTTGTGTTTACAAAAGCATTTTGTTTTCTATCATTTTTTCTATGAAATTGCTAATATGTTAAATTTTTAATAAAATGATATTTGTAAAAAAAGAAAAAAAAGTGAATCTTGTTATACACAGTACTTGAAACTATTTCTCTATTCTATTTAAAATTGAGAGATTTTTTCTCTTTTATTTACAAGTTACATTATTAAATTTTTGACATAGATATATTATCTTATCTTTTATTTATTATTATGTAGATTCTTATTTTTTAAAAAAATATTTATATTAAATATGAGTAAAATTGAAAAGTTGTTAAATTTCTGTCAGAATTAATAAATTTATCTTTTTTACTTTGGTTAAATAATAATAAATAAAAAAGTAAAATGGTATATTTATATTAAAATTTTAATGATGAAAAAAATATCTCATCTCTGTAAATAGAACTGCAGAAATGGTTTAAAGCAACGAGTACAAAAGGTTTACTTTATATTTCTTTTACAAGTATCATTTTATTAAAACTTTAATGTATCAGCAATTTGATTAAAAAATAAAGGAAAACAAAATATTTTTGTAAACACACGCTATCATTGATAAATAGTAGCAGTGTTGAGGTTACAAGAGACTTCACTGAACAATTTGTTTTAACCTTTTTTTTTTTACCAGCGACAATTTGTTTTGGATTAAATTCTCTTTATCAAGGTATGGGTATAATTTTCAGTCCAAAAAAAAAAAGTATGGGTATAATTTTCACACGGGAAGCTAAAATGGGGTGAAGGGAGAGAGATGAACAACTGAAATCTCACTTTTTCCAATAAAAAAAAGTATAACTTCAAATTGTTAGATGTCCTGGTGTTTGGATGGAAATTAAATTATAATTTTAAAAATATTTTTACTATATACAGAATAAATATGTAAAGAAATTTATTTCATTTTATAAAAAAATATTTTTAAAAAATATTTTTGTACAATCCTAAACCACCCCCGTCATGTAACGGGAGAGGGTGTAAGTTAATGCAAACTTGTTCAACGAGTTCCTGATATTTTGAAACTTATTTTTGATTTGAGCAATATTAGGTATATCGTTTTGATAAATATTTTTGATCAAGTACGATTTTCGTATTTTCTTTTACTTGTTAACATTAGTGTATTCTTGGAATCGCACAATTTTACTTTGGAGCTTATTTGCGTATTATGATAATGTCAAATTTAATTTTTTTCAAAAAGGTCATGCCCATAGGAGGGTTTTGCCAGCCGCAGATTTGGCGTGATGAGATAGGATTTTCGTGTGGTGTCGCTTGCTTCCGAGTTCCGTGTACTTTGGACAGCATCTTCTGATCAAGCATTGCGTTACCGTACCACGCGGTTTTGCTTCGTTGTTGAGTTGAAAAGTCTCTGTGCTCATCTTCTTTCTTCATTGCTGCACATATTCCCAAGCTTTCAACCTCGCTCTACTCAACTTCCCACCAAACACACCTGACTACATCGGATCTTGTCATTCACACGATGACGGAGGCTATGATTGAGGTTGCACTTGATACTTTGAGCTCACTCATTCAGAAGGAGCTCGTTTTGTTTCTGGGTGTAGGTGGAGAAATGAGAAGGCTTTCAAGCGTACTCACTACAATCAAGGCTGTGCTCGAAGATGCTGAGGAGAAGCAACTCACCAACAAATCTCTCAAAGATTGGCTGCGCAAGCTTCGAGATGCAGCTTACGTGCTGGATGACATCTTGGATGAGTGTTCCACGCATGCCCTTTCCTTAGAGTATCAAGACAAGGTACAAGCCTCTTGCTTGTGCTCTTTCAATCCCACTCATGTGAAGTTCCGTTACAAAATTGCCAAGAAATTGAAAGGTATCAGTCAAAGACTTGATGAAATTGCTGAGGAAAGGACGAGGTTTCATTTACGCGAGACGGTTCACGAGAGGAGGAATGAAGTCATGGAATGGCGGCAAACTACCTCAATCATTACTCAAACCCCATTATATGGAAGAGAAGCAGACAAGGAGAAAATTGTGAACTTTTTGATTGGTGATGCTTCTAATTTGGAGGACGTATCAGTGTATCCAATTATTGGTATTGGCGGTCTCGGAAAAACAACCCTTGCCCAGCACATCTTCCATGATGAGAGGGTGGCTAATCATTTTGAGCTAAGAATTTGGGTATGTGTCTCTGAAGATTTCAGTTTGAAAAGGATTTCAAAAGCTATAATAGAGTCAGCTACTACTGGGCATGCTTGTGCAGATTTAGATCTAGAACCGTTACAAAGACGGCTCCAAGAGGTGCTTGGCAGAAAAAAATATTTGCTTGTCCTGGATGACGTGTGGAATGAGAAGCAGGAGGAATGGGATAAGTTGAAATTTGTTTTGGCCTGTGGATCGAAGGGTGCTTCGATTCTAGTCACTACTCGTCTTACAACAGTTGCGCGCATTGCAGGAACAGTGTCGCCTCATCAGTTATCACTGCTATCAGATAATGAGTGCTGGGAGTTGTTCAGACAACGAGCTTTTGGATCGGAGGAGGAGGCACGCGAAGAGCTTATGGCTATAGGGAGGGAGATAGTAAGGAAATGTAAAGGAGTTCCACTTGCTGCTAAAACTTTAGGAAGTCTTCTGTGTTTCCAAAGTAATGAAAATGAGTGGCTCCGCATTAAAGAAAGTGAGATTTGGAATTTACGACAGGAAGAAGATTCTATCCTGCCTGCTTTAAGATTAAGTTATTTGAATTTATCGGCAAAATTGAGACGGTGTTTTGCCTACCTAGCAGTGTTTCCCAAAGATCAAGCGATGAGGAAGAAACAGGTAATAGAACTTTGGATGGCTAATGGGTTTATTTCAACCAATGGAGAGTTTGAAGTGGAAGATGATGGTGATAGAGTGTGGAATGAATTGTATTTAAAGTCTTTTTTTGTGGATGTTCTGATAGATCAATTTGACCACACATGGTTTAAGATTCATGACCTTGTTCATGATTTAGCCCAATCTGTAATGGGGGAAGAATGTTATAACGGAACATGCGAGAATGGCCCACCTAGTGAAAGAACTCATCACCTCTTACTTGATGGCAATGACCAATTTCCTAACATATGGTCATCTCATTTGAAAAAGGTCAAATTCTTAAAAACATTTATAGTACAAGAAAATGATTTTGAAATCAACACTAGATTGCTAAAATGTTATCATTTGCGAGCGCTTGACCTGAAGTTTTTAAATGAGGTGCCATCTTCTATTGACCAATTAAAACATATGAGGTACTTGAACCTTTCTGGTGGTGAATTTACAATGCTTCCTGATTCGATATGTAAACTATGGAACTTGCAAATTTTGAATTTGAACGGGTGTTGCTTTCTCAAAAAGTTGCCTAATCAGTTGAAGTACTTAAAGTCTCTCCGTCATCTATGTTTGAATGGGTGCCCGTCATTATCCAGATTGGCCCCGAAAATGCGCCAACTAACTTGCTTAAAGACCTTAAGTGTATATATTATTGGTGTGCAAGAAGGGTTCTTATTGGAGGAAGTAGGAAATTTGAAACTTGAAGGAACACTCGACATCGAGCACTTGGAGAGAGTGAAAAGCCCAATGGATGCCAAAAAAGCCAACTTGGCCGATAAACGCCTCGACGAGTTGGAGTTGTCTTGGAAAAGGAACGGGCAATCCCAGTTACAAGAAAACGAGGAGGAAATTCTTGAAGCTCTTGAACCTCATAAGCAACTTAAATGTTTGGTTGTAAAAGGATATCTTGGCACCCAACTCCCACAATGGATGATTAATCCTACGCTCAAAGATTTAATTTCCCTACAACTCAAGGGTTGTAAAAATCTTGTACGTGTTTCGTGCCTGGCAAAACTTCCGTCTTTGAAGCGTCTGAGCTTGGAGAACATGAATCACGTGCAATATATAGATGAGGAATCTTATGTTGATGGGGTTGACAGAGGTTTCCAAGCTCTGGAAGATCTACAGCTGTCAGGGCTACGGAGCCTTGTAAAGTTGTCATGGGACGATGGAGACAGCATGTTCCCACGTCTCTCAAAGTTGGACATCACTCATTGTCCGCAACTAAACTTGCCTTTCCTTCCATCCATCACTCAACTACAAGTTACAAATGGATGTAGCAAGGTGTTAGTTGGTTCAATTCATCAAAATCTGCCCAATCTTGAATGCCTTGCTTTGTCTGGAGATGGAGAGTTGACTTCCTTTCCAGAAGAGATGTTAGTAGGCCTTAAGCACCTTCACGCCAACTTGGAGGCTCTCGTAAAATTGCAAATTGCTCGATGCGACAACTTTGAGACAATAACAGAGGAAGCGTCGGGAGGGTTGTGTTCTCTTAAATGTCTCTTTATTAGTGGGTGTCCTAAATTCAAACTGTCTGCAGGTTTTGGACACCTCATAGCCCTTAAACTTCTAATTATTAATGAATGCGCGGAGGTGGAAGATATCCATGATGCTTTACAGCATATTATGACCCTTCGATTGTTACGTTTGCGTGATCTCCCAAAGCTAGCGTCCTTGCCTGACTGGTTGGGGAACCTTGGGTCGCTTGAGTCATTGTGTGTATCTCAATGCCCCAAGTTGACGTCACTTCCGATGAGCACTCAGAGCCTTACAAATTTGAAATATTTGGGAATTATCGGTTGTCCGGAGTTAGGGAAGAGATGCAAGGAGGGAACAGGGGAGGATTGGCACAAAATTGCTCATGTTCCACGTCGTGATATAAGAGATTATTAAGATGCATATTTTGGTCAACGTCAATGTTGGTCATCTTATTTCGTTCGCACATTAAGGTATGCGCTCTAATTTCCATATATATAATTTGTCGCCTTGCTTGGATCATGGGGGGTTTTATTTCCAGCCTTTTTTTTAAAGAAAAAAATTAATTTGGGATTCTTATAGTCTTATTTTACCTTATCAAAAATCTGATTATGATTTTTTTAATGGCTCCTTACAATTTCTTTCATTATAGGAATTAGTCCTTATGCTCATAATCTGTTAATTATGATTGATGTGGGTATTGATTAAATTGCATAAGAGTTGCAATAAAATACAAAAATAAAATATTTTTTTTAAAAAAATACAATGATGGATTATAACTTATTTATTATCAATATAAAAGAAGTATTATGCTCTTCATTGTAGTCTTGCATCCATATATATATATATATATACATATTATAATTTGCTTGGTTTTGATTTTATTTAGATCCATGTGGTAAAATTATCTTGTTGAACACTGAGTGAGAGCCATGTCATTGGCTACTAATGTATTTTTCTAACAAATTAACAAATTGTGAGTATAAAAACTAACACATATAATTGAGAAAATCATGATAAAAATCACATGGATTTAATTTCTAATGAAGTGAAATTACAGGGTCTGATATAGTAATTTTTCCTTTTTCTGAATATAGTCAGTGTGGTTCTTATAAGGAGATACGGCGTTGGTATATTTGTAAATAGGTCTTGAGGTTAGTCTTCAGACAACAAATTTTGTACGTTTCCCATTTCGTAATTTTACAATTTTGAGAATCCAAATTATATGAACATAGAAGACGTGACAGACAGTGTCTCATTTCATAAGCTCGTTCCCTTTTCCCGACTACCAGAATAGGGAATGGGAGCTGAAAACTCCATATCAGATTGCACCATCTTCATTTTGTTCTTGAAATTCGAATATATTACAACATTTTACTACTGTATTTTGCGTTTCATTTTGAAACTGACAAGTCTCTCCTTCTATATGTTTAGATTTTTGTTAAAGACTGAGTCAGATTCCAGGCCTCGTCGGGTGGAGCCGAGTTACTCAATAGAATAGAGGCTGTGTCTTTTGATGACAAAAATTTTATAATTCAAGCATGAAAGTGCTGGGTTTCTGCTGGTGTCGGAAAATTTCACTGTACTAAATTGGAAATTAACTTTGGTCTGATCTTTTGCTATCTATGACTTTCTTAACGAGTCATTGTTTCAAATGTAGAATGGTGAGAGCATTTTGCACATTGAAATTTGCATCGTCCTTTTCTTTTCCTGCCGTCTTCCATGTTTATGTAATATTTTAGAAACTATGCTCCTTGTGTGTATTATTATTCTGGGTTTATGCCATTGCATTTAATTCATGGCCCAACCTTAGTTTCTTCTCCTGGTAATTGTTTCAACTATTTATACTCCAATTAGTAGGTTTGTTTATTGTTTATGGTAATATACTGTGATGTGGGGAATAATTTAAATCAAGCTTCTATGACTTCGCTTTTTAAAGTACGGCAGATAAATAGCCGACATTGAAAGATAGTGTTATTAAGCTAGCATATTTACATTGCATACAGGATTACTTCTGGCACATACGCTGTATTTAGACCAGGGCTGACAGCAGATGACTAGAAGCAGGGGCAAATAAATTTTATGGGAAATTTGAAATTGAGACCAGTCTAATATTTTGTTTATAGATTGTTTTGATGTGTTAGTCTGATGATAGATCTTCACAAATTTATTATTTTTGGTTGAATTTTTTTCTCCTCGTGTTAAAGGAGTTCATGGAATGGTATGTATATGAAAAAGCACGGTCAAAGATGTTAATTAATCCAGTCTATTGTGAGTTGCTCTTCGTGACTTTTACCCCCTATCATCATTCATCACCATGTCCACTCTGGGTTGGCGGGCAAGCATCTTAACAATTTGGTCTTATCATGGGAAAGAAACTGAGAATCGGAAATGCTTCAAGCTCATACACGAATTTAGGACCTTGGAAGTGGAAGCATACATAAGAGTTAAATTCCCACAATGGATGGGTAGCCCTACCCTCAATGATTTATATTTTATACAACTTACAGATTACAGCTTGAAGATTTATATTTTATACAACTTACAGATTACAGCTTGCAAAAAACTGTGTGCACGTTACATTCTTAGGGAAACTACTACCTCCGGTCCTTATTATAAGACCCCATTTGACTTTTTATTTGGTTCTAATTATAAGACCCCAATCCATTTTGTCTCTTATATTTGTACATTTTTTCCAAGATAATCCTTCTAATAATAATAGTTCTAGCCAATATACTTAATTAGCAAGGATATTTTAGAAATAACAACACTTATTTATTACAAATAACTAACTTAACTTACTTCCTTAATCTTCTCAAATAAATCAACTGGGTCTTATAATAAGGACCGGAGGTAGTATTGTATTTGAACAAACTAAAGACATAAAACAAGGTTCATGTGCAATACATTGATGATGAAACTTAGATGGTGAGGTTCCAAGAGATTTTAAAGCTCTCTAAGCAACCAAACCTCGTAAAATTATCAAAGGAGGGCGGAGAAAACATGTTCTTGTCTTCCCATGATTGAACTGAAGGTACTAGAGAAAAGCGGCCAATCACTTCTGGGTTTAATATATAATCCTGACCGTCTCCATTCCCTTTGATTTATCATCATCATTTTTTTTTAAACTATGCACAGGTATCCTCCTATTAAAAACAATCTTGTTCAAAATATTATTAAGCACTAAATGTGAATACTTCTCCTAATCGAGATTCGAATTTTGATTTGCTACTTTATGAGGCGATATAAATTAGCCTCTTCCACTAGCTTCAACTCATGTTGATTCCTCTCTCTTTGGTTTCTTAACTATAAAGAATTGACTTCCTTTCCACATGGGTTGGTTCTAGCCCGTCCTTTTCATAGCGGATTGGCTCAAGATAACTCCCGTGATTTATATTGGAACCCCATCATCCTTACCTGACGGATACTTTGGTCCCTGCTGGTTCACCACCGATCTGCTGTTTAAATTATGTCCATTGGCTTTTTCGCCTTGAAGCCTTGTGTGTAGTCTGGTTTTTGGCATAATAAGCCATTCAAGACTTCCTTCTCACATGAATCATTGTGGTCATGTCACTTTTGAAAATTTTTATGAAGTTTACCGTAGGACGAGAAGTCCATTGTGCCCGGCTGGATGTTAAGCCACTTTTGGTCATGGCCTTTCATTGCATTTGCATCAAGAATCATCACTGATTCACTTTATCAAATTGATGAAACAAAGCTATTTGCTTGGCAAATATAAAAATGGCCACGTTAAGAAGTTACTCCAAGGCCGTATTGATATGGTTCAAAACACAAGCTAATGCTTAACGTGACATGACCAGTTTAGAAAGGATCTGCTCTGGTGGAAAACATTAAGATAACACTATAAATAAACAAGGCAGTAAGCACATTATCCCCTTATCTAAATTTCTGAGCTCCAGAGCAAATAATGCTAGAGCCACTAGAACCCTCACAGAGGGCAAAACAAACTCTAATCAGTGCCATACAAGTAATAAAACCATCTGACCAACATAATATTATAAACGGTCCAATGCTACAACCAGCAGTGATGATCCACGGTGTGATCCGGATGGCAACTCTCAATCTTCTTCCCTCTCTGGAGGCAGACCACAAGGCAGGAGCATTTTCTGCACACAAAACAGAACTTCTGATAAGAAATGCAACAGCTACTTCATTTAGGATGGATACTGGAGACAAAATTTGTTGTCACTCAATAGCTTCAGTAATATGATAACAGGAACTGACATCAAAGATCAAACGCCATCACAAGATGCCAGTCCTAAAGAACAAGGATCCATTCAACAAAAAGAATCATGATCATAGAACCCCCAGGCCAGAACTTTTTCAGACCCCTCTTGCTTATTGTCTCATTGGCGGCATCATTGAGCATGTCGTGTCATGCATAATTCAATAAAATGTAACATCACAGAGTAATTATTCTTTCAACTCGTTTTCCCAAAGTTGTGGTAAAAGGATGGCATGACTGCCATCAACCCCGAAAATAAAGCTATAATAGCAGTATCAAATTACATTTTCATAGTGTATAGATTCAAATAAATAAAAACTTATCCCGTGGGTAGAATCTCTGTCAGAAATGAAAAAGGGAACCAGATGAAACCCAGATTT